GTGTCTGGATGCTGCTGTTGCTGGAGGTTTCGATTAAACTGACAGGGAGTTTGGTGGGCAAGGCTTGGGCCAGGTCTGCATTAGCTTTTTCTATGAATTTTACTTAGCTAAAATCAGCCTCACAGCCCGGGGGGCAGCGTTGGGCGGGCGGTGACGGCGCTCTTTGCCCCGCAGCAGGGAGGCTCCGAGTTCGTGCCGGTGGTGGTGAGCCGCGCCGTGCTGCGCGCCATGAGCCGCCGCGACGTGCTGGTCAAGCGCTGGCCGCGCCCGCTGCGCTGGCAGTACTACCGCTCGCTGCTGCCCGACGCCTCCATCACCATGTGCCCCTCCTGCTTCCAGGTACCGCTGCGCCAGCCGCTGGAACCGCCGCTCTGAAATGGGCTGGGCAAAGGCCTGGAGGGGGTAGAGGCCGAGCAGTGCAACCCCAGCTCTGAGCTGTGTGATAGATAGACAGGGGGACAGCTGCCTTGGAAGACCTGGCCAGAGCTGAATTTGAGAAGTTGCCCTGACAGCAAGTCAGAGCCTCTTGAGCAAACCTTGGCTGACCAACAGAAGCTGATTTGTATTTATTTCCTTTTGCTCCGTCTCTCTGACTTGCAGCCTGGTCTAGCCAGGAGACCAGTCGGTGACTGTTGCCTTGTGGTTCAGACCTGCTCCTAAAGAGTCCAAAAGGGTCCAAACCCTTGCTCAGAAATAACTTTTTGAAATGCTGGAATTCAGTCGTGTTTGCTTACTCAAGTGCCTAATTGTCAATCCTTTTGCAAAAGTCGTTAGCAGCTCTGGTGCTCCCTGCTGTGTTCCAGGCTGTAGCATCTCAGGTGACTGGAACTAAAAGGCCCAATTCTCTGTGGTGGTACTTCCAGAGTGTCTGTGCTATTGAGTAGCCATTGAACTCAGTTTGCATTTTCTTTGAGCAGGGTACAGGCTAACTTGTTTTAAATCTGTTCCTAATTAACAGATGTTTCACACAGAAGACTATGAGCTCCTCATACTCCAGCATAATTGTTGTCCGTTCTGTCGGCGGAGAATAGATGAGTCAAACCAATGAAGAAAACCAGTCTTTTATCTCAACAACAGACTCCCCTGTTGGCTTGGCAAAACCCTTCTTAGATCTGTAGCGCTTTCCTAATAACTTAGTTATGTCATCTTGTCTCATTTTGTATGTAAGAGTGGAACCAAATTGAAGAATTTTAACTATTTTTTTATATTAAAATGTCTGGTTTTTGTGAATGTGCTCTGCATTTTCCAGGCAAGCAGTGAAGTGCCACAGAATTTTACAGGAACATTTCTAGAATCAAGTTCAGCCTTCAAGTAATTGGTTTTACTCCAGATTGTGCTCCTTAACACACACCAGTTATTGACAGATCTTCAAATAAATGGGACTATTTTTCACTATTTATTGTCTCAGAATTTGCTATAATACTCATGCTTCTGATCAGAAATTTCTTTTTCCTTTCTATTCCGTTTAGGCAAGAACAGCATTTAGAGCCCTTCAAATATAATCTGAAGAGTTCCACTACTGTTGGCACTGGGGGCATCTCACAGCCACCCTGAGGCAGGTGGTGGCTGAATGTGTGTGGGATTCACCTGGCTGAAGTGCAGCATGAGAGGCTGTGCACGCCTGAGCTCCGTGCTGCTGCCGTGGAGGGCGGTGTATGGGAGAGCTGCTGAGCAGGGTGTCCCAGCATCGTGTCAGCGCTGAGCCCAGCAGGCGCTCTGTGGGCATGCGGCAGGAGCAGACGCGCTGCTCTCTGCTGCAGCCTCTTGTGGAGGCGCGAGACACCGGGGGCATCAGTCCCAGGCTGCACCTGAGCCCTGCAATGGCTCGCTGTCCCTGCAGGACTGGGCAGGAAACAGGAGAGCAAAGGCCAAGAAACTCCTGTGTTGAGATAAAGGTGGTTTAATAGCTGCAGCACAGCTCTGCCTGCAAGCAAAGCAAAGCAAGAAGGAATTTATTCCCTGCTTCCTGGAGAGCAGGGCTCAGCAGGAGTAACTGTCACTTGGGACAGCAAACACCACAAACACAACATCCTCCCTTCCTCCCCCTTTCCCTGAGCTTTTATTTTGGAGCACAACGTCATCTGGAGTGGCACAGGGCTTTGGCCAGCTGTCCCAGGTCTGTCCCTCTGTTGCCAGCCCTGCCCGGTCTGTAGCTGGGGGGACGGGGCAGGCAGGATGCAGCTGCACTCGCTGTGTTCCCGTGCTGCTTTACACTCCAGCACTCAGCACCCGCCGTGCTCTGGGAGGGCAGCGAGCGCCGTGCAGTGACACCAGCGCACCCCGGGCAGGGAATCTCGCCAGGAGGGACACAGGGTCATCCCAGCAGCAGGACATTCACAGGGGTAACCAGCTTGGCTGGAGCTGGGAAGTGGTGCCTCTTGACTCTAATCCAGTATGAGCTGTGCCCGTGTTGCCACCAGTTCTGTTGTGATGGCAGCCTGCCTGTTCCAGCCTGCCTTTACCCTGAGTGGGAAAGGACACGAGCAACTGGCTGAGGTGTCGGTGCTGGCAGGGCAGCTCCCACGGGAGCAGCACTTTGCACGTGGAACGAGATGTCTGTCTGCTCGAGTTCCTCTGGAAAAGGAGACCCTGCAATCACACTGCTGAGTTTCCCAGTCCCTCAGTGGTTCCTGACCAAGTTTGCTTGATTTACCACTTTAAAAACATTCTGTTCTAATTACAGCTCGTCTGCTTTCTGACTCAGCTGTCACTGTTTGCAGTGAAGACTCTGCTATTGACATGGATAAACAATGCTGTTTGAGATGGGAGCCAGGGTGGAATTCAGCTCCTTCTGGAACAGGGCTGGCTGTGCAGAGCCAGTGGGAATGAAAAATTATGAAACTGAGGAGAAAGGGTTTGCTGTGACACAAGGACAAAATGGACCAATGTTGTTTTTAAACAACTCCGTGAATATAGCCTAGCTTTGAAAAGTGTTTGGGGCTTTTCTGGGCAGAAGCACTCTGAATGTCTCACACATACCTGATGAAAGGTTCCAGTCCAGGCTGCCCCGTGCCACGGAGCCCACCAGCTGGCTTCATGCTGAGGAGTCCCTGGAGGTACAAGAGGTGCCAGCACGGCACTTGGGTTGGGAGTTGTGAGCAATTTGCCCCATTCCTCTCTCTCTCATCTGCCTGCCTGTCCCACTGCTGCATCCAGCGGTGACGCATGCCAGCCCTAAGCTCTGCATAGCAGCTGCTACCTCAGCAGTGGCTTATTGCATCAGCTTAAAGTGTTTTAGGAAATAAACCTTTAATCCCTGTGTGCTCAGGTACAAGTGTAAAAAGCTGCATTTGCAGTTAGAAAATGGCACTGCTTTGGCCTTGGAAAGAAGTGTGAGAAATTAATTGAGAGGGACTTAGGGTGAACAGAGTGTGTGTGAGGACCTGGTGTTTTCATGTTAAGGTGAAGGAAGACCTTTGGGACTGTCCAGAGACTGTGGCCTGCACTGGGCTGCCAGCAAGGTCTGCCCTGGTCTGTGGTGCCAGCACTTCAGCTCCTTCCCCACTTGGAGGGCAGGTTCCCGGCTTGGTCTCTGCTCTAAGGAGAGTACAGTGCTCTGTGCTTTTTTCCATTAAACTTATTTCTGAAGTAACTTACAAGGAACATTGGTGAAAACTAGGCCAGGCTGGAGGAAGTTTTCTAAGGCCAAGAGGACATGAACTTCTGCCCACCTCACAGCTATGAGCTCCAGCAGCTCTGGCACATCCTCCTGTACTGGACGAGGCCCTCGCATTCACCTGCTCCTGGCTGTGAGGAACGCTCAGCTCTGCCCTCAGTGCAGCCAAAACAGCAAGGGGAGCTGGGTGCTCAGCTCCCTTCCAGCCTCCATCACCTACAAAGGGGCACAGCAAAGTCTCTCTTTGTGCTCACCTCCTGTACATTTTGTCCCACTGCCTCTGAAAAATTAGGATAACTCCGCTTCTGGTTGGCACAAGAAATGTTTCAAGCACAACTGAGTGCACGGAGTGGTGAGTCAGAGAGACAAAGAGGGCACAGAAGGCTCCAACAATAGCCTTCCCTGTGGAGTTTGATAATTATGCAAGGTTTGAGGAGAGTGAGGTTGTCTGTCAACCTCATGTATATGAAGCTGAGTGCTGGCTTCAGCTCTGAACATCCCATCAGTGCCCTGCTCCAACAGCCTTCTCAGCACCATTGCAGAATGATTCCAGTCCAGGACAGATGGACTAGGTTATTCATTAGCTGTTACCAATGGAGTTGGCATGACCCAAATCAGATACAAAGGCACAGAGGGCATGGCCCAACTGGTAACCTGCAAGTGGGCCAAGTGTTTCATGATGGTGGTCAAACCTCCACAGCCAGATCCTGAGTAGAGAGGAGGCTGGAGCTTGTGGAAGAAGGTTTGGTCACTCTGCCTTCTGCAGCCTCCCACAGGGACTGGCAGTATGTGGGGATGGCTCTCCAGTGGGGACTGGCTGGACCCACGTTCCCCTTGTGAGAATGGGGCTGGGACACTCCTCTGTCACTGAGGAAGTGGAATTCAGGAACCCAGCCAGGCCACCATTTGCAGCCCCCAAACCCACAGTCTAGGGTTTGAACCACACGTGTCCCTCCTATTAGTGGGGAAGGGAAAGGAAGAGCAAGGCTATGCAAGGGAGCTGCTGCCTGGTTTGAGCCCCTCCAAATAAATGGTGTGGTGCAGAACTACCTCTTTTTATATATATGACCATGAGCCATGGTCCCCAACAATGACAGCACTGGCCAGAAACTAGTGTCACCTTAACACCTTCCCAGGAAAGCCAATTACCCTGGGATGATTATGATTAATAATTCTCTAAACCCTAATCGTGCTGACACCAGTGCCTGGAGCTTACCCCAGGGGCACTTTATAAGAGGTGCCCCGTGGAGGAGAATGTAACTGGTTCTCCTTGGGGTGACAGTGAAGGCTGAGAGGTGGCAGGAGCTCCATTTCAGAGGCAATTTTCCCCTTGCACAAAAGAACTCCTGGAGTAAGAGCAAAAAGCGCCTCACAAACTGCAACCATGAACGGGACAGAAGGCCAAGACTTCTACGTGCCCATGTCCAACAAGACCGGGGTGGTGCGGAGCCCCTTTGAGTACCCCCAGTATTACCTGGCTGAGCCTTGGAAGTTCTCGGCGCTGGCTGCCTACATGTTCATGCTGATTCTGCTCGGCTTCCCCATCAACTTCCTCACGCTGTACGTCACCATCCAGCACAAGAAGCTCCGCACACCTCTGAACTACATCCTCCTGAACCTGGCCGTCGCCGACCTCTTCATGGTCTTCGGGGGCTTCACAACCACTATGTACACCTCCATGAATGGGTACTTTGTCTTTGGAGTAACAGGGTGCTACATCGAAGGCTTCTTTGCCACACTGGGCGGTAAGTTTTCCCAATATTCAAATGTCTTCTGTCAGGAATTTCCCTGGATTTTAGTAGTGGGAGGGAAAACACAAATGATCTTGGCAAAACACGGTACCTGTAGTGTCCTTGAGCTGCTGCTGATGTGGACTGAGGCGATTTGCCCTGTTTCTGGGTAGGAGCCGAAGAAAGTGACAAGTGACACATTTTAAAAAAACCTTTATTTTGGGAGCCAGCTGCTCAGTATCCTGAGAACCACAGTGCAGCAAAGAAAAGCAGCCAACACCAGATTTTGCAGTTGTTGGATTTGTGCATCTCCTTGGCTTTCTGACTAAAGAGATGACAATTTTGTTCCTCCTATTTTGCAGGGCTGAATCTGCCATTGGCTCTGGTGTGGTGCATGGTGGTACAGGCAATCAGAGCTGCCTCTCCTCCCCATGCCAGCCTGGTATGGAACCAAACAGATGTGAAACAGAAATTGTGTGCCTAAAAATGTCCTCTTCCATGTCTCAGCCTTCAGCCACAGCTACTGTTTTACTGGTTTGGTCCTTGTGGCACAAGTTTCCAAGTGGGCAGTGAGGAGAAGTCCTGGGATGATGGGCAGTTGCTTCATATCGGCGTGTGACCACAGGCTTGCTGGTGCAGATGCTGTCTGGGATGAGTGGTGGGATCAGCCATGAATCTCAAAACACTGCAGCAAAATGTTTCCTGTGGGTCAGCAGTACAGTGAGAAGGGGTCTTCTCACACTGTCCTACCACATCTGCCCTTGACCATTCTTCATTTCTCTTTCTAAACCCTTGTCAGAGATTAGGCTTCTGCCAGGGGTTGTCCTCAGGAACATCAGTCTCAGGAGACCTCATGTTGCCATCAGGGTGGTTTCTTTTCCTGCTCAAAGTCCCTGTGTCCTTTCTGTCCCTCTCCCTGGTGCAGGTGAAATTGCTCTCTGGTCACTGGTGGTCCTGGCTATCGAAAGATACGTAGTGGTCTGCAAGCCCATGAGCAACTTCCGCTTCGGAGAGAACCATGCTATCATGGGTGTTGCCTTCTCCTGGATCATGGCCTTGGCATGTGCAGCTCCCCCACTTTTCGGCTGGTCCAGGTAGGGAGGGCATTGGACCCAGCGTCAGGGGCGTGGGAGCCTGGCTGTGGCTCAGCTGTGGCTTCCAGGCAGTCTCCCCTGCTGGGTGCTGACCTGCTGGGCTCACCTTGCAGGTACATCCCTGAGGGCATGCAGTGCTCGTGCGGGATCGACTATTACACTCTGAAGCCAGAGGTCAACAATGAATCTTTTGTCATCTACATGTTTGTGGTTCACTTCATGATCCCGCTGGCGATCATTTTCTTCTGCTATGGGAACCTGGTCTGCACGGTTAAGGAGGTGGGTACCTGCCAGATGCAGTGCCCAGTAGGGCTACCCCTGTCCTCAGGGCTGGCAAGGGACCCACACCAGGTTCAGGAATGGTGCCAGGGAGGGTCCTCCAGGGCCCAGCCTGGCCATCCATGAAGAGGCAAATAGCAAACTGCAGATGTGCAGCTTAACTGCCGTGAGCCCTGACCCTGTGTCCCTACTGGTGCAGCCCCCACTGGCTCCAACACGTTCCTGTGCGCTTCTGCCCGCAGGCTGCTGCCCAGCAGCAGGAGTCTGCCACCACCCAGAAGGCAGAGAAAGAAGTGACTCGCATGGTCATCATCATGGTCATCTCCTTCCTGATCTGCTGGGTCCCCTACGCCAGCGTCGCCTTCTACATCTTCACCAACCAGGGATCAGACTTCGGGCCCATCTTCATGACCATCCCGGCATTCTTTGCCAAGAGCTCGGCCATCTACAACCCTGTGATCTACATTGTAATGAACAAACAGGTAACTGGCAGGGTGCCCCTCCATTGTGTTTCTCTTTATAAGAGCAGGCAGAGAGTTACAGCATCTCAAGGTGCCAGTGGTCTGGGGCGGGGATTGTTTCCAGGAGATCTAGTCCTGGCACATGAGAAACTGACTGTGCAGCTCATCCTTGGCGCTGCATAAATCTCACAAGCGCAAGGCCATTCCACCTGAAGTGATGCAGGTGCTGGGTTGATGGAGGAGCCGTGATGGGAGCAGGCAGGGCTGGCAGTAGATGGGGTGGGCAGCAGACAGTGGGGCAGGAGACTCCATATAGGCACAGCTCTTCTGCACCACAGTACTGCTGGGCTTAAAGACAGCTCTGCAGCCAGAGCTGCATGGTGTCCAGCTGGCTCACCCTGGGCTTCTCTCTCTCCCAGTTCCGTAACTGCATGATCACAACCCTCTGCTGTGGCAAGAACCCTCTGGGTGACGAGGACACATCTGCTGGCAAGACAGAGACCTCCTCCGTCTCCACCAGCCAGGTCTCTCCTGCATAGGCCCCATGGGAGCAGCCGGGCCCTGGGGTGCTGCCCTGGCAGCACAAACTTCACCCCACCGCTGCCACCACCTGCCCCTGCTTCACCATGGCCAAGGCCCTGTGGGGTGGGCTCCTCGCTCTGGCTCTAGGAACCCTGGGAACAAGGCTGAAAATGTGTACACATGTTTTGTAATTAAAATGCAAAGGCTTAGCTCCTCTGGCGTAAATCCATGCATTTCTGTTGACTTGCTGAGACCTCATGCTCCTTCTCTGAGTGCAGGCTGGGTTGGAGAGCTCATGCCTGGGGCCATAGCAGAGCTGTCCTTGCCTCCCTCAACCCACCCTAACACCACAGCCAGGGCACATTCTGCATCTGCTGCTGCCAGGGCCAGAGCTGTGGCCACTTTTGGTCCTTTTGTCAGAGATGGATCCTGGCCAGTGCTGCCAGTCGCTCAGTCCCATCACACTGCGTCTGCCCAGAGCACATTTGGCTGCTGCAAAGTGCCCTGGCTCTGCCAGATGCTCCCAGCTCTGGCCCTGTCCCACCTGCCAGAAGTCCTGGGGAACACGGTGATTCCTCCAGGGGGATGGGACAGTTAGCAGTGCCCGGGTCCTGCCTGGCAGGGAGGTGGCACGGCGGGCCCTGCCAGCATGGCTCAGCCGTGTGTGGCCACAGCTCTCCGGGACAGCTTGGTTCTCGGTCCTCCAGCACTGGTGCAGCAGCACTCGGATGGTGTTTGCACCCTCAGCAGCAGCAGCTCCGCTCCCTGTCCCCCAGCACCCCTTCCCCACAGTCCTGCCTCTCTTTCTTAGGCAGCTTTGGACCCCTCGGGCCAAGCGCCCAGCAAGCCTGCCCATGGCCCTGCCCATTTTGGCCGTGGTCAGTCTGGCCTCGGCCCAGCGGGAGGCTTTGGGTGGCTCTGGTGCTGCTGGGCCCGCGGGGCCGGGGCTGATCTCCCTCCCCGCCGCAGCAGGCAGGACCCAGCAGCATATGGCTCAGCCACGCCGACATATGTTCCAAGCACTACGAGATGGCATATTGCAATTGTAGCGGTGTTCTTCATTTTTATTTTTAGCTCAGTTATACAAATAAGATGTTTTTCTCACTGTTCAGTGTTATCAACATTTGAAACTATTTTTGTACATTATTATCCTCTCTGATTTCTAATCCTATGCAGCTTTGCAAGGACTAATAGGGAACGTATAGAGCCCATGCGAGTTAAACCCTTAATAAAGAGCAATTTGCAAGTACAATTCTCTCATTATTTTTTTTATCGATACTTCTGCATATTCAGTGAAATCTAAAGATTAGAGTTTTATGAATAATTCAGTGTTTAGGCTGATGTCTGATTCATGCTCTTTAAATCTGGGAGGTGGTTTTGGAGGGAAGAGGAAGAAGGATTCAGTGTTTATTTGCTGCCTGTGAGGCTGTGCTCCACAGGAGCGTGGTGATGCCTGGCACTGTGGTTCTCCTGCCCGTGGAGAACCAGCTCTGACACAAGCCAGGCTAGCCCCAAGGCCTGGCCCCAAGCCTGCAGGCTGTCCCCACACTGTGACACCTGGCTGCTGCTGGTGGTGCTAGGGGCAACAAGGGTTTGGGACCCTCCTGCCAGTTCAGCCAGGTGCCAGAGGCATCACAGAGCTACCAGAGAGGTGATGGATGGATCCAGGATGAGGAAGTGCAGCCAAACCTTCTGTGGTGCCAGCCCCAGCAGCTCACTGTCCCCTTCCTGGAGAATTCAGAAATGGACTGGAAACAAGGGATGAACAGGCTGGTGCTGGTCTGGGGAGGAGGAGGGCATGTGGGGCTCCAGGCAAGGGTCTATCTCAAAGCTCCTTGCTCCAGACCTGGCTCCTACTGGCACCTCAGCCAGGGTCTGGCCCTTGGGCTCAAGAGGTGGCTGCAGACCTTGGCGGTGCTTTTCAGGTCCATTGCTGTGGTCCGCTGAGATGGCCATGAGCCAGTCCTGCCATCATGTAATCCTGCTTTACAACTGCCTCACGTTTCCAATAGACAATGCACACAAAACCCCTGTGACTCCTGCGTGAAGTGGGCAGTCCCTGCCGTGGGGACATTTGCAGTGGGGATTGTTCTACACCAGACTGGGTGGGGAAACTGTGGGGACTGTTTCTACACCAAAGAGCCATTGGTGTTTTACTCAGGCTCTCCTCACTGCACGGAGGGGTCATGGAACTGACGTGGCTGCCCATGTCCAGGGCTGGGAGTCCTCTCCCCTGAACATGGGATTCAGTGGGTGGGTGCAAATTGTTGTCCTGCTTGTGACACCTGGGGATGCTGGGTGAGAGTTGCTCCTCCTGCCTCTGCTAGCTAACCAAGCAGCTTTCACTTTCCTCCTTGCCCTTGTGAAATCTTCTCTCCCCACCATTTTCAGAGTCCCATTTCCTAGTGAGGCCATACGGTAAGGGAGACAGCACATCCCACCTCCACACTGGCAATGGGTCTGTGTGCTCCAGGCTGCTTCCCTGTGCACCCCACAGCAAGTGTTGTCAGCAAGCTGCAATCCCAGCACCCCAACATTGACCTTGCAGCAGGTAAACACCATTTATCTGCCCGCTCAGGGGACTTACTCTGCAAAGCCCCATCTCACATCCTTCTCCCTCCAGCCCCTCCCAAAGCTTTGGCAAAGGCCATTCAGCTTCCAGATCCTGGCTTCCACCAGGGCTTCGACCACAGCAATTAGCAGCTGACAACCAGCACCTGCAGCCAGGCTGTTCATCAGATAAATTGGAGGGAGGTGAGCTGGCTATGGCAGTGGGGTTTGTGCTGCTGTGGGTGGAGGTGCTTGTGACTGCCTGGGTTTGTGTACTGCCATGGAGCCCCAGCTGGGTAAGGGGTCTGCAAGTGCTCTGGGGTCCCTCAGAGCTGGAGCTTGGCTCATGCTCTGGGCTAGGGTGGCTGTGCTCCCTAGGGGGGCTGCAGGGATGAGCAGGGCTGTGGCACCTTGGCTTCTGGGGGCTTTGAGGCTGCTGGGGGTGTGAATGTCTCAGGACTGCACTTCAGTCCCAAATGGTCCCTGTTCCAGCAGCCAAGACCGCTGGCATCTCCCTGCGCTGCCAGGCCTCGCACCCTCCAACCCTGCAGATGGTCAAGGAGGCACTGCGGGCTCACGACGAGAAGAAGGGTGCCTCTGTCGTTGCCATCAAGCGTTTTATCCTGGCCAAGTACCCCACTGTGGACCCCATCCGCCTCAAGTACCTGCTGAAGCGGGCGCTGAGCAAGGGGCTGAGCTGTGGGGACCTGGTGCGGCCCCACAACTCCTCTGCTGTGGGGGCCACTGGCACCTTCAAGGTGAGCCAGGGCTGCTGGAGCCACAGGGCTGGGGGCAGGCGCTGGCTGGCCCTGTTGACACCTCTCTCTCACCTCCAGCTAGCACGCAAGAAACCAGGGCACAAGCAGCAGCTGGGCCAGGCAGATCCTGACAGAGGCCAGGCCCCAAAGCCAGGACAGAAAGGGAGCACCAAGGACCCCCAGGCCCCCGTGGCAGGAGCACGACCACGAGGTAAAGGGCTGTGGGTGCTGTGAACGAGCTGGCGCTGCCTGGCCTCACCTGGACTCATCTGCTGCCCTTCCTCCACAGGTGTCACCAAGCAGCAGCCCAAGGTGAAGCCCGAGAAGGTGAGTCGGGGCCAGCAGCAGGGTTGGGTGGCTCGTGGCATAGCAGCACCCTGAGGTGCTCCCCTCTCTTCCCTCCAGGCCCAGCCACGAGCAGCAGAGAAGCCCAGGAGCAATAGAACAAAGCATCCCCAAAGTGCTGACCGGCCCCAGGCTCATGGCCCTGGGCCTTCAGGGCCCCCCAAGGCTGCTGCCCACCGCCAGGCCCCCGGAAAAGGACGCTCAGGACCCAGCACAGCTCGGGCTGCTCAGAACGCAGGGGAGAGCGACAGCGACAGCTCTTCTAGTGCTGGGGCAGAGGCAAAGGCCCCCAGGGGAAAGGGCAAGGGGAAGGTGCCCAAGGGGGCACAGCAGGAGGGCGCCAAGGCACAGGGAGGTCACAACAAGGTGAAGAAACCCCGGGCGACTGCAGGAGCTGGGCAGGGGAAGGCCAGGGTGAAGAAGGCAGCCCCCGTGGCAGCAGACAGAAAGGCTCCTTAGGGAGCTTAGCCCTGCTTCAGTGGGTCCCAGGCCCTTGGGGTCTGTGCTGTTTTCAGTCCCCAGGAAAGGTTTTAACTCTGTGTTCACCTCATCCAAATAAAGCTTCTTTACTTGCCACATGGAATGGCATTGCTGTTGTGAGTCCCTGTCCCTGCAGTTCCATCTCAGTGCCAAAATCCCTCAACCTGCACAGCACGGTGGTGAGCTAATGCTGCAGGCAGCTACCTTGCTGCCTGCCTTCACAGAGAGGTTCTCTCTCTGTCCCCAGCTGTGGTGCCAAGGGCTGCTGGGCCTGGGGTCTGTGTGCAGGCTGACAGTGTGCCAGGTGATGGGCAGAGACCTGAGAGCCATGGGACACAGTATGGTGACATCCCCAGGAGCAGAGAAGCTCAGGCTTGGCCAGGGCTGTTGTGGAGCCATGGTGCCCACAGGCTGTGTGAGGTGTCCAGCCCCTTGTTGTCCTGGCTGCCCTTGTGCTAATGCCTGGCTGAGCTGGGATTACAGGAGCACCAGGCTGGCAGGTCTGGGTGCATGCCACAGGCAGGTGTCTCCCAGCAGAGGTGAAGCAGCCTGTGCTTTAACTACAGTAAGAGGAAGACAGAGGTGTCTTAGGGCTCAAAAATCGAGTTTGGGGTGTTACTGTAGCCTCCAGTGCAGTTCATGCTCTTATTAGTCTATGGTACAGTTCCCACCTACAAACTTGTCTTGTGAGCTCCTGTGGTCAGTGTATCACACTTCCATTTAATAGCTTCAATTGCCTGAATTTCCCTTGCTCTGCCCAGAGCGGGGCCCTTCTGAAGGTCATGCTGATCATGTAAAGGGTTACAGTCCTCCTGGGTGGGAGAAAATAAGTGGAAGTAAAACTCTTTCTAAAGAGGATTTTATTAATCTGCAACTGGCCTTGCCATTGCCCTCCAAGGCTCCTGGCCTTGCTTTGGGGCTTAAGCAAGAGCTGAGCAAACTAGCTTCCCTTACACTTCAGCCTTGGCTGCGTTGATCTATCTTTAATGGAACTGGAACTCGTGTTCCCCCAGGGACAGGGTGGGGAATGTGGCAGCAGTAACTGAGCAGAGTTCACGGGATTCTCAGATGGGGGTGGCTCACAGAGCACCACTCACCCATGTGGCAATGTCCCCAACAGTGCCAGGCAGGGACTGTGTCCTCCCTCTCACCAGCCACCAGGTCTGAAATGCAAAGCTCTCTTGCTTGGAGAGGCCAATAATTTAATGGCTGGATTTGGCTTTGCCAAGAGTCAACTTCCTAGTGGAGGAAGAAAATCCCTCTGGTGTGTGGAAAGCAGAGCCTTTACTAGGGCAGGGGGAAGATTTAGCAATGCTGTGGTTATTAAGGGCCCTGGGCCACAGCTGGTGTTGGGGTGCTGAAGCTGCAGGCTCAAGTCTGATGCAGGGAGGCACCTGGCAGAGGTGAGCAGCAGCTGCTGCTCTGGGGTTACTGATCTCCACGTGCCCAGCGCTGGGCAGCTCAGGGGCTGCTGTCCTCATGCTCATTGTCCCCTCCTGTGCCTGCTCCAGGAAGGGGCTGGGGCAATGGCTGTGGGAGTGGTGTGTGTGAGGGGTACAGGCCTGTCCTCACTGGGCTGCTGACCCCACACATGGTGTGTCTTGCATGTGCAAAACTTGTCTGTGCAGGTGTCATCCACGTGTGTCCTCCCCGTGTGCTTGGCAGGAACTGCACTCCACAGGTTCAGCACCTTGTTTTATTACAAAGATAGGCTTTGCCAGGAGTCTGCCACTTCCACTACACAGCAGGTAAGGGCACTACACCCACAACACGTGCCAAAGTTTAAAAACATCTTACAAAGGGCTTGGAGATTCAAGGCAACACTACAAACCCTCTGCTAAAGTTGTTTCATTAAATGGTTGCAGCAACTACTTTTTATTTTTTTTTTCCTTTTTTTTTTGGCTTTGGAAAATAATTAAATAATAAAACAATAGCCCCAATACATGGCCCAGCCACAGCACCTGGAGGCAAACTCTACTTACTCTTGGCTTACCTGTATCCTTTCCCTGTAATAAACAACATGGGGCTACAGCTCCATGGTCCTTTCCCTGCCTCCAATCAAGCTCAACATTCTCTGCTACCTTGGTCCTTCTCACCCTGGCCTTTCTTGTGCTGGGCCTGCCTACATCTCTGGCAGCTATTCACAGTTTCTAAAAGACAAAAACATCAAGAAATTTTTGTGAAATCAGTTTCAAAATAAAATGTAGCCCAGCTACATTCTTAGAGTTTCTATTCTGAAGCCACATCCTCAGCAAAGACATTGAGACCTCCACAGTGTAAGTACTTTTTTTGTAATTCTCTTTAAAAAAAAAAACTCTGTTCTTCCCCTTTCCCTCCCTCCCCACTTTTTAACATACTGGATAAAGTCTACTGTTTGTTTTAAAATAGATATCTATGTACACATACACAACTCTGATGTTCTGGTTTCTGACAATTGTGGCATTACTGGAAATGATGGAATGGAGACCACCTGTCCATGGCAGTGAATCACCCAGGTGTTTTAGTGGACAAAGTCATCCAATGCCAGAATGCATCCTAGCCAGCTGGATGACTACCAGAGGCTCCCTTACACCCTCCTGCAGTGAGGTAGTAACTGTGTGTGTTTCCTGTGGTAGCTGGGGTGGTCAGCCTGTGGGCAGGAGCCTTTGCCCGTGCAGGGATGCTGCTTTGAACACGTCCAGCCTGCACGGGGCCTGTGTGACACTGGACACCGGAGCGGTCTCAGCTCCCCAGGCTGCAGGAGGGACCACAGGCCACCAAGCCGGGTTGGCAGTGTGGCACTGGGGTGTCTAGTCTCAGGCAAGCTCTCTTTGTCTGCCCCTCTCAGTGCCCCCAGCCTGAGCTGGGACATGCTCTGCCCTGGTTTGCAGCTCTGGGTGCTGGAGATGCTCTGCTGGCCTGTGTCACGGCCGGGCCGGCAGCAGCTGGGCCCAGTCCCTCTGCCCTTCAGGGCTGAAAGCAGGCCGGCCTTGCAGCCTAGCCCCACTGCCCTGGCTGCTCTCAGGTACCAGCCACAGGCTGGCCCAAAGCAAGCAGAACAGGCCGCTTCAGGAGACACCTCTGCAGGACTGGCCTCGTGTTTGGTGATGGTCCCAGGGAGGGGCAGAGACAATGCTCTCTGGTGTCTGCCCTGCGTGTGGCCTGAGGCTGCTGTCACAGGGCTGTCAGCAGGCCTCTGGCACGGGCACACACGGTGTTACTGTGGCTGAGGGGTTGCAGTGCCACGGACATGTGTGGGGCCAGCATGGCGGGCAGCAGCTGTCACAGGGCTGTCAGCAGGCCTCTGGCACGGGCACACACGGTGTTACTGTGGCTGAGGGGTTGCAGTGCCACGGACACGTGTGGGGCCAGCATGGCGGGCAGCAGCTGTCACAGGGCTGTCAGCAGAGCCCTGGCACGGGCACACACGGTGTTACCAAGGCTGCAGTGCCATGGACACGTGTGGGGCCAGCACACTGGGCAGCAGTGAGGGCCAGCTCCTTCCCCAGCCGCTGCCACCCGGCTAGTGGGCTGTGCAGTGCTCACCTCCCTGCTGAGCTCCAGCCCCCATGAGCCAGGAAAGGGGAACAGCCCTTCCTGTGCCAGCACACACTGGGCTCCCTGCAGCTCCCAAACAGCTGTCTCCACTAGGGATAAAGTGCTTTCACCTTGCCTTAGCTGCTTGGGAAGCAACTGCTTTGTCTCTGCCTCAAGCTCCCTGTGTTGCCCGAGTCTCAGATGGAGGAGTGGTTATGTTTACACATACAGTACAAAAATTAAAAGGCACAAATATACACAGAATGCAGCAGATAGTGAACAGCTGATAAGAGTCCCTGATGTTGGAAAAACAAGGATGTTGGAGAGATGGAGTGGGAGCTCAGGCTATGATGGTCTTTGCTGTCTGTGGTCATTACTCCCTGAGGTGACCCTTCTGCTTTGTGTCTGTTGTTCCAGGCTCTGCAGCCCCATCCCGAGGAACCATGCACAGGGTTGCACGGAGTGCTGACGGCTTGGCTGCTGACCAAGGGGAAAGTGGTGAACTGAGCTTGCCACAGGCGTCATGACTCCATTTCTGGCTGGCAAGAGCAAATAAATTATGGGTGCCACAGTGCAGACCAGAAGAGTTTTAGCTGCTCGGAAGGGTGTCTTGTGGTTTCTTGTGAAGTGAGGCAAACTTGTAGCCATGGCCAGGCCCACTCCCTCCACAAGGCTGGTTTGAGTATGACCAAGCTGTGCCTGCAGCTGAAGGCAGGGTCCCTTGCGGCACTGTGCTGCAAGAAAGGTCACTTCTAGGGCTGCAGCCAGCCTAGGCTTCACTGCAGGACTCATAGATGTTGTCCTCCATGAGAGCAATCACTTGCTCAAATTTGTGCTGGAGCTGGGTGCGCTTTGTCGTGGGGTTTGCGTCCAGGGCGGCCACGATCTGCGGGAGACACAGGCAGGCAGGGTGCTGAGGCAGCGTGGGGAGCGCACCTGCCAGCCCAGCTCACCCCAAAAGACCTATGGAGCCCAAATTCCAGCCAGAGCTCCCAAGGTGAGAGCCCACCCAGTCCCACAGCCCCTGTGCTCACAGCCCTGGCACCCCTGCTCTCCCAGGGTCCCTAGGAGTGCAGTGGTACATGACAAAAATGCACTGCTGTGCTAGAGCCGAGGGCACAGCACCAGCCCAAGCTGGCACGGGGGCAGGAGCCAGCCAGGGTCACTGCCTCAATGGGGTGGGGACAGCAGGTGCAAGTTAATTTGGGGGTGGACCTTATCTGCATGTTTTGCTCTCCTGAAAGGGTCTATACATCTGGCAGCCCTTCTTCAGTCCAGCCAAATGCCATTAAGATCAGCAGGGAATAGCCAGCCTCCTCTTCCAAGAAGTTGCCAGCCAAGGCACAGAGAGTAGGTGCATCTGGATATGCATCTATTGCATATGTACTGCAATTATGCACAGCCCAGCAATCCTGCTTTGTGGGACTGTAGGCAGGTGTCTGCCTGCAGGGTTGCTGCAGCGA